AGAAATACCATGTCATAAAAGTGGTTTTCCCAGGGGGAGGTTCATCCATTGCACTTTGGGTGTGCTGCTGATCCCTGTGATTTCCCCAAATGTGGGGAACTCAACTGCATAATTTGTGTTAATGGAGGGATTGCACTTGTGATTTTCCTGGTTTTTCTAGATCCCTTTTTATCTCTTTTTCTCCTTATCAGGACCTATTGCAAAGGCAGCAAGTTCTGGTGATGTCTTGTATTGCATTCTTCCTCTTTTTCTCCCCTGTGGTAAAAGATCAGGGCAAAAGGAGTCTCCATTATCAGGAGCCAGGGGGCTGCTTTGATTCCTTCCACCCTATTGCACTTGTGATTTTCCTGGTTTTTCTAGATCCCTTTTTATCTCTTTTTCTCCTTATCAGGACCTATTGCAAAGGCAGCAAGTTCTGGTGATGTCTTGTATTGCATTCTTCCTCTTTTTCTCCCCTGTGGTAAAAGATCAGGGCAAAAGGAGTCTCCATTATCAGGAGCCAGGGGGCTGCTTTGATTCCTTCCACCCTCTTTCTTTGCTAGAGAGAGAAAAAGGGAGACAGCCCTCTGAGACCCATTGCATTTCCAAAGGTAGTGCAGGTGAGGGGATTGCCTTTCCCCATTATGGTATGGGGAACTGTGTTTTGCAAGATGATGTCTTCTATGGGCAATTTTCGCAAGACGGTGATTTCCCCCCCAATTGGAACGCATTAAATAGATTTCAATGCATTCCAATGGGGAACTGGGTTTCGCAAGACAATGTTTTCGCAAGACAGTGATTTCCGTGGAACGAATTAAAATCGTCTTGCGAGGCACCACTGTATTCTGGTATTTTCCCTTTTCTTCTGAATGGTACCCCTCCTTTTTAGATGCACACACACACACGGACACACAGACATTTCATTCAGTCACAGTATGGTCTTTCTGTCTTGCTGAAAGTCAAATACCCATTATCCCAGTATGTAGCACACAAAGCCTACAGAATCTCAGCATCATTGAAGAAATTAATCTGATGGCACTAGAATATATTCAAGCCATATACAGTGGTGCCTCGCATAGCGACGTCAATCCGTGCAGCAAAAATTGCTGCTAAGCGATTTTGTCGCTATGCAATTAAAAAAGCCCATAGAAACGCATTAAAATCTGTTTAATGTGTTCCTATGGCCAAAAAACTGACCTTAAAGCGAAGATCCTCCATACGGCGGCCATTTTTGCTGCCTCTTAAGCGAGGAATCCGTCCCTAAACACAGTGGGCGGCCATTTTTTTACCTGGTGGCCATTTTGGAACCGCCGATCAGCTGTTAAAAAATCATCGCTTTGTGATGATCGGTAAGTGAAACAGGGACCTGATCATCGCAAAGCGAAAAAAAACATTTAAAACATCGCAACGCGATTGCTCTTGCGATCGCAAAAAGTTCGTCGCTATGCGGTTTCATCGCTAAACGGAGCGCCCGTTAAGCGAGGCACCACTGTATTTTAACAAAATTGAAATCCATTTCCACAGTACTAACAGCTAGCAGAATAATTCACATGAACCTAAGCAGCATTAACAAAACAAACTATAAGCTTTCATGAAGATTTTAAAAATAAATTAGAGCTTGAGAATCATTCTGAAATGCATAGGACCTAAAGAAATGCCCGATGAACTACAGTATGAACATAGTTGTAATAAGTTTGAAAATGTCATTCAAACAAGTTGAAATTATTTAGATATTTTTCTCTTTCAGAAATCCCCCCAAAGCGTCTTTAAGTTATGATATAAACAAAGAGCAGAACAGTACAATATTAAGGTAATGTTCCAGTTTTAAAGCCTATTGAAAGGACAGTTTGAGAAAAGAAAATAGACTAGTTTAATTTTCCTTAAAAAACAAAGTAAAATCCTATGCTAATGATCATCACAGTTCTCACTTCTGAAATTTACAACCATTCCTTACAGGCTTTACCAGGGGATAAGTTACAGGGGCCCGTCAAAGCATAAGCTTTGATTCTATTGGATAATAGCAACCATTACACAACACCACTTCTCAGACTTGCTTTCATGGTAATAAAGATCACTGTTATCTCATAAACAGCTGATGTGCATGTCATGTTTCTGAATAACTTGTTTGCAAACCAGTCAGCCCTGCTTGCTTGGCTCCTAGGTCACATTTTGGTGCACACTGGGATCCTGGTGTATACAAAACATGTATACATCAATTTCACTTTTGTAGATCTGAAACATCAGAGTTTTAACTCCCCCACCCTCCCCCCAAAAGCTAACACCTGTCATGTTTTGGAATTCTCTTAGAACATTAACAATAAAATCAATGTAATTATAGTTTAAACAGCAGTAATTACTATTTATTGCCTATGATAATTATTATTTAAATATAGTGGTCTGCTTTCAACTTCTAGAGTTCTAATGAAGTCTGCATCTCCAGCATTTCACCAACCACTGAAATTCAAAGAGAGAAGTGTCCAGCATTCCAAAAGAAGCACAGATGACAGGTCAGACCAGTTATCTCTGAAATCTACGGACAGTAGCAGTTACCCCAGCCCCTGTGCCAGTCCCTCTCCTCCATCATCTGGAAAGGTGCAGTAGTTCTTCATTGCCTTACATATTATGGAAGAACAGCTGTTTTTTTTCTAAAAAAATAGAATTATGAAATATTTTGTGTATTGTGTCAAGACACTATCACAGCAGCACTTGAAATTCAGGAACAGGCAGTGTTTTGGGAAAAGCTACTGATCTTAATTTCTTCTGGAGTACACATTTATACTGTCTCATTTTTCATTGCGCCTTTTCAGTTTTGCCATCTAGCTACAAGGCTTCCCTTTCTACTCACATTTTTGTATATATGTAGAGCAAACGTCAAGACATAACAGAAGAAGTTTTTAAAAAGTGAACTACGTAATACTTTGAAGCAAGTTTTTAAAAATGTGTAGTAAAGTGAAGCTTGCAACTGATTGCTTAACCATGAATAATTTTGTTCTTGATCCATGCTATTTTTGTCAAGTACAGTGATTGTTCATTTACCCTACGGTCAAAAAACCCAACAGTTTACTAATGACAGTTTCTACATCATTTTTAGCTGACTAGAACTGCCAGAAATATAGCCTGTACTTAGAGCCAATGAGCTGATTTCTGCGTTGATGAAATGTAATGCTTTCAAATCCATAGGCTGCTTTTAAAGATTTAGTGACAGCAGATGGTAGAAGCGGCAGGTTTACTTGGTTGGTTCTGTGCTCTAGTTGCGCTGAAATTCCCAAACAACATGACTGAGTGCTATATTCAGTTATTTCCTTAATCTGTAATTTACGGTATCCAAATTTGCATTCTTTTGTCAACAAAGATGGCAGCTGTTACTTTGTTCAGCAAGAAGAGTATGACCTTGCTTCACAATCTTAAAATTTTTCAAGACTCTAATAATAATGTGTTGCATTTATCTGAGGATTATAAAAAGAATGAGGTGTGTATTCTCTTTCCATGTTTTCTTTGGACAGGGCTCGAAGTCTCCTTCCCCACGGCCAAATATGCCTGTTCGATACTTTATTATGAAAAGCAGCAATTTGAGGAATCTTGAGATTTCACAGCAGAAGGGAATTTGGTCTACAACCCCAAGTAATGAGCGAAAGCTGAATCGAGCCTTTTGGGAGAGCAGTGTTGTTCACTTGGTGTTTTCTGTTCAAGGCTCAGGCCATTTCCAGGTGAGAACTAAACATTTTGAAGTTAGACTGTCAGCATTGCATTAGACCATGTACCATACTCTTATCAAACTATAACAATTTCTCAGGTATCCACAATTAATTGCTTCTTAAATTTGTTTCTTGACCTTCTTCCTTTGAGGTCTAACCTTTGAAAATAAAGGAAAAGATAATTAAAGCTAAAAAACTAACATTATTTAATTTTCACTTGTTTTTATTTTCAAGGAACAATTTTTTTCTATAGGAAAGAGTGTTCTCTGAAATATAAGTAGTATTTAGTGCTGGATCCAGGTAAAAAGGACAAAAGCAAGACCTGAATTGAATTATAGTTTAAGCAGCAGTAATTACTATTTGGTTGTAATTGGTTGAAACCTAATGGTGTATATTACCATGAGTTTGGCTTTACATTAGCAAGGATGTTCCAATGCTGTCGATGGCTCATTGTTTGCTAGTATAACTGTGCAGCCTTCCTTCTGGGTTACATGGGAGGAAGAATGGCTTGTGCTAATGGTCCCTTTGAGCCACTTGAGTTATTTTTCACCAATGGCCTGGGGGTGCAGGCAGTAACTGCTGCCTGAAGTAGAGTCACTGTAGGGACAAACAGGAAGAAACTCTCCACTGGGCAAGACTATTGTTACCTTTACCCTCAGTGATCCCCTCCTGATTCTTGAGTTGCAGCAGTGTTAGCAAGAACCTTAAGATGAATTTCTGGGAGCCTCAGCAATGTACAAGAAAAAGAATCATTTTATTATGAGGGAGAGGAACGTCTACTATAGTTCTTTACTTGCTCCATCAATTGAAGGTCACATGAAACAAACTGATCCTGCTCAAATAATAAATCACTGGATGATTATAAGAAAAGATAAAATTATTTTCTGTCTTTGTCATGATCTTGCCCTCCTGATTGCCATGCCCTCAAGCTGGTTAGCAATGACTGGTCAGTCATAGAATACTTTTCTCAGCTTTCTGGCTGTAAGGCAAACAATGGGGATATTCTGCCTGCACCTTGCCCGAGGCAGAAAGTTGTGTCCCTGCCAAAAAGCAGGAAAAAGAACTGCTTCAGTACTGGGTCCTGTACAAATACATTTGTTGAGTTTACTAAAAAAAATTGTACAAACATTTCAAAATACATTAGTTTTATAACAGATAAAAGCTTGTCAGGCCCGTAGGCAGAATAATTTGATACAGACACTTTGGGGATTTTTCCCATTTAGTCTTTCAGAGACTTAAATAGTTACATGATACACACACTGTTTCCATTTTCTCCTCTGAAAAACAACTACTATAGCATCATGAAATAGTAGCACTTTGATAAAACAACCGAGCCCTCTTTAAATAAGGAGCTTTGAAGGTTATGATGGGTTTTTAACATAACTTGATTTTAAATAGTTATATTACAATTTGTCACAGGGTTTTGCTCGAATGTCTTCAGAGATAGGTCGTGAAAAAAGCCAAGACTGGGGCTCTACAGGTTTAGGAGGAGTATTCAAAGTGGAATGGATCCGTAAGGAAAGCCTTCCCTTTCAGTTTGCTCATCATTTGCTAAATCCTTGGAATGACAACAAGAAAGTACAAATAAGTCGAGATGGCCAGGTAAGCCAGTTTTTACAGAATACAGGGAAATTATTGCGGTCGGAATTTTTTTGTTCCTTTTCTCTTCTCTGTCAAGAATGTTTAAATTAGCATTGTGTTGTTTATCCCTGTGCTGGAAAATATACAGTGTATATAACATGAAATGGCATAATCCTACCAATTTAAAACCAGGCACCAGCTAGCTAAAATAAGCTGGCGTTGAGACCAGATGTCACAGCCTATCTGAGCAGAGGTGCAGGGCATGATAGTTCAAAAGGTGCTGACACCAAAGCCCTCATGAAAAAGTTGAAACTTCAGCAGCCTCTTAAAATGAGGGAGGGAGGCCAAAATCCACCAGAAAGTGATTTTAGAGAATTGGTGCTGCCTCCAAGAAGGCCCAATTTAACGTGTTGCTTCCCCCCCCTTTTTTTTATAACGGCAGCTTGATTGTCATAATTTTGCCTGTGACTTAATCAGTTTCAGAATTCTTGACTATTGCTTCTCTCTGGTATAGGAATTGGAACCTCAGGTTGGTGAACAACTGCTACAGTTGTGGGACCGTATTCCTTTAGGGGAGAAAAACACAGCTGATTGAAAATACTGTAAAAGGTTCCGAGTCATGCATTCTCTCTTGATGGTATGTAAATACATGTGTTTAAAGTTTTTCCTCCTTGTTAATCTCTCCCTATCAGGAAAGTTTTTGGGACAAAGAAATGGCACAATAGCAAAGAATAATTGCTGCCTTTGTGACATAACTTACCTAAGGTTGGGTGGCTCCACACAAGGCACTAGGTTTTAATGCTTAGAGAAGGAGAAAGAAAGTTCTGCATATAGCATCATGGCAAAAGCCACTGGAAAGGCCATGGTAGGAGTTTCACCAAAATGCTCTAGCCGAAGCTCATTTTAAACACTTGGGAAGCAGTTGAGAAAATTGTCATTTTACCAAACTAAGGTCATTTTGTTGGAAAAATGATAGCAAAGTTGTAACTTACTAATTCCCCTCCACAGTTGCACCCCATATGAATCAGTCAGCCAAGATCACCAGGGCACCTGCAGAAAAAGGAAGAATGAGAATGAAGCAGGCTGAAGGAATTCAGTGGAACAGACTGGAAATGCAACTACTTTCTGCTTTGAAAGAAGCAGCGTGGACTGCTCTTAATTTTGTTGAAATGTTACACTGATGCTTCATTTACAAACATAAGGACACCCAATCAGACAGAAACCTTTGGTGGACTCGAAATAGTGTTGTCATATATATTTAATATTTCTTCCTGAAGAAACAAAACGTTCTCAGTAGTGTTCTGTTCAGACACAATGCTCTACAAAAAAAGGTTCAGAGATAAAGTCTTCTGCTGCTGAAATAAAAACTTGTGAGAGATTAAATTGCTTGGATTAAATTACTTAAAATTATAACATGGATGCCTTTAACACACTAGCTTCAGGATATTTAAATTTTAACGTTTTTCTGTGTCAAGTATGCAGACACAAAAATATATATTGCATTTTTTTTGTAGGGGATGAACTTCAATGTTGAAGGAAAAGACCCTTCAAAAAGCTTCTGGGCATTGGATTGGCTACATCATAACCACTTTCTCAAAACCATTGCCAGCAGTGTTTTCTTCTCATTTCCAATATTACCTGGTTCTTCTTATTCATTTTGTTAATTTAATTAGTTTTTTTCAAAATAGGCTTTCTTCAACAAAGTTGATGCATATGTATTTTCCATGTATAGCACCACTGTACCCATTAAATGTAGCTCTAGTCTTGTGAGAAATATCTGTCTAAGCAGAAGTTTAAGTGGGGAGAGAAATGTCATATTGAATTGGAAGGAAATTAACAAGATTGGCTTTAATTTTTGCAGTCTTCAAAGCTAGTAAAAAGAGTTCCAGATTTCCCCACCCCCATAAAATTGCAATGTGAAAGTAGAAGAGACGGAGAGGTTTCCTTTTCAATTAAACACTACATGAGCATTCTGACAAAGATTCTGGATTTAGGGTGACACTTTTTTTTCATATTTCAGTATAGATTGACTTCTTCATGGTTCCTGGTAATAAGTGATTGAGTTCTTCTGTACACCAATGTAGCAATCTCTTACTATGTTTTACTGACTGTGATCCAAATCACCTTATCTGTTTACAAGTTGCAAATTGGAAATAAGGTATCTTTAGATTAAACTTGTTTTGTTTCTATCGGTGTTATGTTTTGGAGTGGTTTTTCCCTCTTTATTTTATTTGTTTTATTTATTTCTTCATTTGTGACTCTGCAGTAAAGAATTAGGTGATATCAAAAAGTAGTATGTTGTATTAATCCTGGGTATGGATCCTTATCTTTTGATTGATAAATTACATTCATTGCCAGTAGTTTGTTTATCGCAAACGTAATTGTTCTGCTGTAGTTATGTTGCAATAGTTGTAGATAAACACCTTGCTGCATAGTGAAATGCAGCCTGACAGAGATAGAAATCAGTGCATCCTGTCTTGTAAGTGCTTTTGGTCTGTTTGAGATGCAGGTGCAGCTGTTCTGGGGCAAAAAGAAGTGCAGCTGATGATCTCGTTAATAGTTTCTAAATTCCAAAGTAATCAAAATTGTTTGAAAATATAATGCTAATATGAATTGAAGTGGTCTCTGTGCCATCACTAAGACTGTGGTAAAGCAGAAGATGAACCTAGAACCTGCATTATGAATTAGTGAAGTAGAAATATATGTAGAGAAAAGACTAAGATAAGGAGAGAAATAAAACCTAATTAACAAATGACCCCTTTCCAGTATAACCTCCCCTCAGTAAAAAAAAAATGTGCAGACAAGGCAAAAAATTAATTAGTCAAATGATGAACAACAATTTGTACTTCGTCCCACAAACTGGTGACCATATGAAACTACAGATCTCAGGAGGGAGGAAGGAGAACTGGAAGATCTGAAGCAGGATAGCACTGGCTTGATCAAGGCCTGAGCACCAGCCCAGCACACAACACAGTGACACCACACATACATCATCCTGCCTCCTTTCCTGCCCATCTATAAAGTCCGTCCCTTACCAGTGCCTTTGAGGTATTTGGGAAGCCTGTTTGTTTTAAAAATATAATCTGTTCAGTGTATTTTCTCTCCACAACAGCGTCTGCTGACACTCCTGGAATCCATTTACTTTTAAATTCTGTCATTGTACTGCCCCGGGTATGTCTATCTTTGCATTTAAAGGGTAGTTTCTAGAAAGGCCTCTGTAATTACTTCTCTTGAGCAGAAATAATCATGCAAGAATTCTCTATGAGTGAGAAAAGTTGTTCTTGATAATACTGTGGTTTAAGCATTAATTTATCATGCTGCACCATCTAGTGGCCTTGCAGCTACTTTGGACAGTTTCAAGCAATAAAATAAAAATACAGGGAATAGACAATTAGGTAGCATACAGCACTGGTTCTTAACCTTGGGTTACTGAGGAGTTTTGGACTGCAACTCCCAGAAGCCTTCACCACCAACTGTGCTGGCTGGGGTTTCTGGGAGTTGCAGTTCAAAAACATCCGAATAACAAAGGTTAAGAACCACTGGCATACAGCATACTGAACAGTACACAAGTATGTTCCATTACATTGGATAGGATTATCACCAATCTAACAACAGGTAATTCTGAACTGAGGAAGACAGTAACTTCTATCTAAAGGTAAGAACAGAATCTCTTATAAATACAATTGTTAATTCATCTTGCCTCCTAGCACAGGCACTGACTAATTGGAACCAACGTTGTATATTAAGATAGACGGCAAATCCAGAGATCTTTCTTCATATAAAACAGAACTATATACTTGTACGAGGCTTTAATTTAATAAAAAGAAACGGTTATGCATGTAATGTCTTACAAGAGAATAAGAATCTAGTGCTAGGTGGTGCTGTTGTATAAATCTTGAAATGGAGGAAACCCTTTTCAAATCTGAAACAAGCTTCAGTTAGTCTTCTCCGTGGTTATGTTTCCTGGCTCAACAGATCCAATGTATAATTAGCAAAACACTCATCATCATAGTGGGTAGGGGAATATAAAACCAATTAATTAAAATGCTTACAAAGACTCATACCCTGCACAGAACAGATGTTAAATCAATGTGGGAGAAAAGTTGAGAAATATACCAAGGGCTTCCCTTGGTATGCAAGTGACATCATTCATTGTCTGGCACATCTCCATGTACAGCTGTATACACACTTTGTGCAGATGATAAACTGGGGCCATCATCATCAAAAAATCAAAACCGTCATTGTCTGCCTTGCTTCAGGTGGTTCTGGAACTTGTGAAAGAGTTTCTGAGGCAGATCTTAATTTCATAGACAAGTCTGTGAGAGAAAAATGACTTCAAGGCACTAGTACAGATAGAACCCTGTAGCCCTCAAGGTGGTACTGAATTCTAGCTATTATTAGCTAGCCGTGGATTATAGCAGTTGGCATTCAGTACCACCTAGAACACCTTTGTTTCTCCATCTTGAGTGAGAAAGAGTAAATGATTTTATTTTTATATAATATAATCTTAGAACTGCAGAACTGGAAGAGACCCTATGGATCATCAAGTCCAGCCTGTATCAAGGAGGCATAGTGGAGAACTGAACACCCAACCTCTGGCCCCATATCTAGATGCCTAAAACATTGAGCTATCCAGCAGTTCATTTAAGCTAGTAGAGTATTTCACTATGTGAATAATACTGAATGATCACAACTTCAAGTAAGATAATTATGCAAGTGTTATGGAAGTCTACAAATTATGATAAACTAATGCAACAAGTCACTGGAAGGACAGATCCTGAAGCTGAGGCTCCAATACTTTGGCCATCTCATGAGAAGAGAAGACTCCCTGGAAAAGACCCTGATGTTGGGAAAGTGTGAAGGCAAGAAGAGAGGGGGACAACAGAGGACGAGATGGTTGGACAGTGTCATCAAAGCTACCAACATGAATTTGACCGAACTCCAGGAGGCAGTGGAAGACAGGAGGCCCTGGTATGCTCTGGTCCATGGGGTCATGAAGAGTCAGACACGACTTAACAAGTGTAACAAGTGTACATTGTAGAGCCACTTTAACTATGGGTCATCTTTTTATTTTTTTATTTTATTTTATTTATACCCCGCCTATCTGGTCATTTTGACCACATCATTGCTCCCATCTGATTTAATGTTTTGCCAGGGTTTCAGACTATC